GAGTTGCTGTGCTGGGGATGAGGGTTGCTGTGTTGCCGGGGATGTTGCTTTTGTTTCAAACATTGCAAGCTTTGGATGGGATGGATTGTTTCAGGAGGTGGCAGAGGGATGTTTCTAATTTGTTTGGCAGGGCAGGAAGCCTCGAGTAAAATTTAAGATATTGACGGATGCCAAAGAAGGAGGTGGACTTGCCCTGCCAGACCCCTAAACTTTGTTGTGAACCATCTGCTTTTTGCTGGCTGAGAGAATGGCTGTTTCTTGAAAGCACTGAAGTGTTGGATAATGGCAGATGAAGTTGATGGACTATATGGAATTGGTGGAAATGACTGGCAAGATCCGAGACCAGGGAGAAGAGTCAGTGGAAGAAGACTGGAAAAAGTTTAAAGACTATTTATAGAAATATTGTAAAATTAATGAATGTTAGAAGAATGTTGGAAGGAAGTTATATGGCTTTAGTAGAAATGTTATAAGGAATTAAGTATAAATAGATTAATAGAAAATTAAAGGAAAAATAAGGCAAGAATGTGTTAAGATAATTATAGGATAGAAAACAGAGGAAGATGGAAAGGAATTGCTGAAACAATAGAAGTGGAATACAAAAAGGGAGGTGTGAGGAGGTCGTTGGAAATAAGCGAATGAAAGATAAGATATTGAAAATGTTTGAGGTGTTTTTAAACTGTTTTTGTTTGTTTCTGCTTTGTTTTGTTAGTTTAATGTGTTGGTGTTATGTAGTGTTTTTGTATTGTATTTGTATTGTTCTTTTTTTTTTCTTTTTTGTTTGTAGTGTTGTGTTGAAACTGTTGGAAAAGTAATAAATATCATTTTTTTAAAAAACAAAAATACAGAGGTGCCTCCTTCACACTGGCCAGACTGGATGCGATGCCCTCTGCCGTACTTGAGGGCAGATACCAAAAGATTCCAACTGAGAAAGGACTCTGCCTCTGTGGAGATTGTAATCTGGAAACAGTGGCTCATGCTCTCCTGTCCTGCCCCCTTTATAAAGATCTGAGGAATGAGATCATCACCTCACACCTACTTACAATCCCAGGCCGCCCATCTGCGGCCACATTGTTCTTTCTGTTATCAGATCAAAATGATCAGACAACAGCAAAGGTTGCTAGGTTTATCGAGGGTGCAATGGGATTAAGGGCCAGTATCTGAATGATAATCTTGATCAAACTAGCGGCGCGGGCAGTTTGATCCATATTTTAGATTTAGGGGAGCTAGTCTCAAACATTTGTTGGGGGAGACCTAGGTTTTTTGGGAGGGATTTATTTGTCCTGTCTCCACACTTTTTATGATAGAGGACCACTGTAGTCACCCCCAACGACACGTTCCCAAGATGGAGGGTGAGGGAACAGCTGCAGTCGCCTGTGGTTCCTGCGCAATGTTTGCCATCTTGCCAAAGGTTGCAGGCAGCTTTACCTGCAGCAATTGCATGTTGATTGCCCTCTTAAAAGACAAAGTCCAGCAACTGGAGGAACGTGTAGCTACGCTCCAAAGAATTAGAGAGCTGGAACTCTTCTTGGAAGCAACAGAGCACACCGTCTCCACCAAGGAAGAGACAGGGGACTCCCCTGAGAAGGTGGCTAGTTCACCAACACAGGAGCCAGATATATGGAGAAACGTGACTCAAAGAAGTAGGAGGCCCAGGGTTCGCTCTGATTGTTTAGAAATACGCAATCGCTTTGAGGTCCTTTCCCCTAGCATGGAAGACGAAGAGCAGACTCCATTTGAGGATCTCTCCCTCATTACAGTCGATCAGGTATATGAAGACGAGGAGCAAAGGCAGTCCTCTGGGAATGTCCAGGCGACCTTGGAACCGACAGCTCACAGAAGAACCCCGACCAGACCTAAGAGGCCAAGCATGCAAAAGGAAGGGAGATAGTAGTAATGGGGGACTTCAATTACCCGGATATTTGTTGGATGTCAAACTCAGCCAAGAGCATAAGGTCAAACAGATTCCTCACTGCCCTTGCAGACAACTTCATTGTCCAGAAAGTGGGAGAAGCAACAAGAGGAACAGCCATTTTAGATCTGGTCCTAACCAATGTTGATGACCTGGTTAGTGGGGTAGAAGTGGAAGGATCATTAGGCGCGAGTGATCATGCTCTTCTGAAGTTTACTATACAGCGGAAAGGAGCAGCCAAGCATACTAGGACTCAATTTCTCGACTTTAAGAAAGCCGACTTCATAAAGCTTAGGGAAGTGCTGGGTGAGATCCCATGGACAGTAATACTAAAAGGAAAGGGAGTTCAAGATGGCTGGGAGTTTGTTAAGAGGGAGATAGTAAAAGCACAACTTCAGGCAATACCAATGAGACGGAAACATGGAAGGTGCCTAAAGAAGCCAGGGTGGCTATCTAAAGAACTTTTAACTGAGTTAAGATTAAAAAAGGATGTGTACAAAAAATGGAAAAGGGGGGAAACCACCAAAGAGGAATTCAAACAAATAGCCAGCACGTGTAGACACAAAGTCAGAAAAGCTAAAGCACAAAATGAACTCAGGCTTGCTAGAGAGGTTAAAAGCAACAAAAAAGGCTTTTATGGGTATGTTCGTAGCAAAAGGAAGAACAAAGAAACCGTGGGGTCACTCAGAGGAGAAGATGGTGAAATGCAAACAGGGGACACAGAAAGGGCTGAACTCCTCAATGCCTTCTTTGCCTCAGTCTTCTCCGATAAAGAAAACAATGCCCGACCTGAAGAATTTGGAGCAAATGATTCAGCAGAGGAAACACAGCCCAGAATAACTAAGGAGATAGTACAAGAATACTTGGCTAGTCTAGATGTATTCAAGTCTCCAGGGCCAGATGAACTGCATCCAAGAGTATTAAAAGAACTGGCAGATGTGATTTCAGAACCACTGGCAGTCATCTTTGAGAATTCCTGGAGAACAGGCGAAGTCCCGGCAGACTGGAGGAGGGCAAATGTTGTCCCTATTTTCAAAAAGGGGGAAAGAGAGGACCCAAATAATTACCGCCCAGTCAGTCTGACATCAATACCAGGGAAGATTCTGGAGCAGATCATTAAGCAAACAGTCTGTGAGCACCTAGAAAGGAATGCTGTGATCACCAATAGTCAGCATGGATTTCTGAAAAATAAGTCATGTCAGACTAACCTGATCTCGTTTTTTGACAGAATTACAAGCCTGGTAGATGAAGGGAACGCAGTGGATGTAGTCTACCTTGATTTCAGCAAGGCATTTGACAAGGTGCCCAATGATATTCTTGTAAAGAAGCTGGTAAAATGCGGTCTTGACTATGCTACCACTCAGTGGATTTGTAACTGGCTGACTGACCGAACCCAAAGGGTGCTCATCAATGGTTCCTCTTCATCCTGGAGAAGAGTGACTAGTGGGGTGCCACAGGGTTCTGTCTTGGGCCCGGTCTTATTCAACATCTTTATCAACGACTTGGATGATGGACTCAAGGGCATCCTGATCAAATTTGCAGATGACACCAAACTGGGAGGGGTGGCTAACACCCCAGAGGACAGGATCACACTTCAAAACGACCTTGACAGATTAGAGAACTGGGCCAAAACAAACAAGATGAATTTTAACAGGGAGAAATGTAAAGTATTGCACTTGGGCAAAAAAAATGAGAGGCACAAATACAAGATGGGTGACACCTGGCTTGAGAGCAGTACATGTGAAAAGGATCTAGGAGTCTTGGTTGACCACAAACTTGACATGAGCCAACAGTGTGATGCGGCAGCTAAAAAAGCCAATGCAATTCTGGGCTGCATCAATAGGAGTATAGCATCTAGATCAAGGGAAATAATAGTGCCACTGTATTCTGCTCTGGTCAGACCTCACCTGGAGTACTGTGTCCAGTTCTGGGCACCACAGTTCAAGAAGGACACTGACAAACTGGAACGTGTCCAGAGGAGGGCAACCAAAATGGTCAAAGGCCTGGAAATGATGCCTTATGAGGAACGGCTAAGGGAGCTGGGCATGTTTAGCCTGGAGAAGAGGAGGTTAAGGGGTGATATGATAGCCATGTTCAAATATATAAAAGGATGTCACATAGAGGAGGGAGAAAGGCTGTTTTCTGCTGCTCCAGAGAAGCGGACACGGAGCAATGGATCCAAACTACAAGAAAGAAGATTCCACCTAAACATTAGGAAGAACTTCCTGACAGTAAGAGCTGTTCGACAGTGGAATTTGCTGCCAAGGAGTGTGGTGGAGTCTCCTTCTTTGGAGGTCTTTAAGCAGAGGCTTGACAACCATATGTCAGGAGTGCTCTGATGGTGTTTCCTGCTTGGCAGGGGGTTGGACTCGATGGCCCTTGTGGTCTATTCCAACTCTATGATTCTATGATTCTATGATTCTATGATTTGATTGTCCTTTTTACCCATTGTTGTCTTTTTAATTGTATATATTGCTTGTTTTATGTTGCTATGGCCGTTGGCTAATGAGAATAAAGTTTATCTATCTAAGCTTCTTCCAGCCCCTGCAGGCAACACCACTGACTAGGATAAGCCTTTCTCAACCTTGGGTCCCCAGATGTTCTTGAACTACAACTCCCATCATCCCTGACCACTGGTCAAGCTGACTAGGAAAATGGGAGTTGTAGTCCAACAACATCTGGGGACTCAAGGCTGAGAAAGGCTGGACTAGGTAGACCAATGGCCTGGTGTGGTATAAGCAGCTCCTTAAGACCCAAAGGGAGAGATGGGATTACATTTTAAAAAATATTTATGATTTTCAATTTTATACATTTCAATAATTTTACAATCATTTTTACATTCCAAAACTTGACTTAATTTCCCCTCTTTCTATGGTTCTTAAATTTATTTTTAATATTTTCTGCATATCCAAATTAACTTAATTTGCTCATTTATTCATCTACTTTAAATATATACTCTGATAAAACTGCAGGTTGTGACAATAATCCCTTCAATGCTCTTATCTGTTTCCAGTTTGTTTGTAAATATTCAATAAACCATTTCCATTCTTTTATAAAAAGCTTGTTATCTTGATTTCTTATTTTTTCCAGTAAGTTTCACCATGTTCCATAAGTTTTTGTATCCATCCTTCTTTTGCTGGGACTTCTTCTTCTTTCCATTTTTGGAGAGATGAGATTTCAACCCTCCTTTCCTGGACTCAAGTTCAGCCTTCAAGTCTGAGGCAACCTTTGCCAAACACCTGCTTGCTACATACTGCTGCCCCCCCCCCACCTGAAGGGTTTCTCTTCTTTTTCCTTGTGCATAAGCTCAGGCAGACAAGGGAGGGGTGGGGGAAAGGCACCAGTCATGGGTGCAAGCAGATTGCTTTGGTTTAAGGAACAGATGTGAGGTTTTCTCATTAGCATGGAGAGCATGAAGGCCTCTAGCTGGAAGGCCAAGAAAGTGCTGTATCTTCACACAGCGGAGGAAGGTGGCCTCATCCTGCCCTCAGCGCTCAGAGGAAAAGAAAGAGCCTTGTGACTGACTTGGATCTGCCATTCAAACATGGAGAGACCCTATTAGAAAGAGAAATATTTGTTTTAAAAATGGACTGTCAACCAGCAAACATTTTTTAAAAAGAATTACCGGTAATTAACTATCAGCCATCTAATTTGGCTGATTTAATTCAAACCCATCTTCACTTTGCAACTTCTCTGTGCAGATGCCCCTCGGAGGATCCTGAGGAAGCAGAAGGTCAGAGGGCTGGGGGAGGCACAACGCTCAAGCGCTTCCCTCCCCTCTTTTCCGTTTTCTTGGGAGGGGCTCATAGTTGCCACAAAGCAGTGGACTGCAGAGTTTCTCAGAGCATGAACACAGCGACAACTCTTATAGCATGGTCCAGTGCGGCTTCCTTGCAGAAATGTTGAAAATGGACCACACTTGTTCAGGAGTGTCTTTTTGTATCTGTGACCTAGGCCCGTGACCTCCCATTCCCAGGCTGGGGAGAATACCTGCCAGCTGTTCTTGAGGGGCAGACGCGCTCTCGCTGCACTGAGGCCAGAGTCACTGCAGAGTCTGTCCAGGGATGGAATTTCCAAAGGTGATTAATCCACAAAGCCCCCATTATTACCTTACAGCAATGTGCTCAGCAGCCGGCGCTTCCCCCACCCTGCTTGGGATAACAACAACTGAGATTTGCTTGCAAGGGATGGCAAGGCAAATCATTTCTCCCTCCCTCTCTCTCTCTCCAGCCACTGATCTTGCTGCAATTCCCGAAGGGGGAAGGGCGGGGGAGGGTGCTGGGAGGATGGAGGGGGGTGTCTGGGGATGGATGGAGAGGAGGCTGCCTTTGCAGCAAGAGAAGGAGAAGAAACTCCTTTGCTGGAAAGGCTAGGAGCTCATTTACATACTCCTAGCTTAATTCTCCTAGGGTATGCAAATATATGCAAACAGCAATCCAGAGAGAGTCAGAAATAGCAGAGAACATTAAAATCACCCTACTTGAATATTGTTTTATGCAAACGATCTACGTGCGCAGTGTGTCATTTATTTAAATAGAAGCAATGTCAGCATGCCAGTTATTTACCCTTCCAACCATCTTAGGGGGCCTTTTTTCTTCCTCTCCCCTTTTTTTAAATAACAAAAAAGGTATTGAAAACTTATCTCAAATAGGTGCCAGGATTGCAAGCAGTGGGGAAATGTTGAATGCCTTAAGAGACGCTTGGAAAGAAGGGGTGGGGGTGGGGGTGGGGGTGGAGACATGCCTCTATCGCCAGACAGTTTGGGTCAAAATGATATAAAACTACAAAGAATCAACCCATAGACTTTGACACAGTGAATCTACTACTACTGTACTAATAATACCAATGTCATTCTTGCAAAGACAGGAGAAATAAGACTATATTAATCGCAAGAATAAAATGTCCATATTCACATTGTGTCCATTCACCACACCTTATTCCTGCAAGATGAGCACCTGGAGACAGGTGAGCCCCTTGCAGCAGCTCTCACCAGGTAGGAGCGTGTGCAGGGAGTGGGTGGGAAGCATCAAGGCAGGAGGGGCCTTTGACCACCCGCACATGGACAGGGGAGGTTCATGGGGTTTCTATCTTATCTTTAAAAGACATCTGAAGGCAGCTCTGTTTAGAGAAGTTTTTAATATTTAATGCTGTATTGTTTTTAACACTCGATTGGGAGCCACTCAGAGTGGCTGGGGAAACTCAGCCAGATGGGCGGGGTATAAATAATAAATAATAAATTATTATTATTATTATTATTATTATTATTATTATTATTATTATTATTCTGCTCTTAAAACCTTCCTCCACCTCTTCCTTCTAGCCAGTTGTTCAACCATCTTCCGTCTCCTTATTATATAACTTTGTTACCAGTCCTTATTTTAACAACATCCTCACAACCCCTTCAATAAAATTAAGAGCGCAAATAATTCTTTTTTTAAAAAAAAAGAAAGAAATTGCATTTAATATACGTATCCAGAATTGTATTGATCTTAACGTAAGCCTTCCCTCGGAAGGAGCGAGCACCCTGACGCCTGGCCACGGCCACTGGAGGAGGCTGTGAGCAGAAGGAGCCCAGGGTGAGCTTGGAGGGTCCCCTGTTCCGAACGCCCAAGTGGGTTGAGCTGGAGCTGGAGGGAGCCTGTGCTCACCTCTGAGGATAGATGCCAGACCTGGTCCATGGGGGCTGGGGGGCTGGCTTCCTCCCACCCACCCCCCAATCACAGGAGCTGACGAAGGGCACCTGAAGAGGGCATTGAGGTCTGAGAATGAACACGCACTTCATGATAGCTCAGAACTCCTGGTTCAAGCCTCAGCATCCTTCAGATTTGGCCTGCTTTCAGACAGTCCTTTCCAGACTGCTCCACAGCAAAGCTCTTTGAGACATGGAAGCTGGTGGCTTTGCTCGGATGCCCACATTTTTTTGGAGGGGGGGGGAGGAACTGTAGGTGTTATGTACTGAAGTTCTCATCCTGGGCCAGCAGGGGGATACTGTAGATAGTTATGCAAATGAAGGATCGAACGTGACGTTCAGTGATTGGATAGTTTGTATGCAAATGAAGGATTGAAAGTGACGTTCAGTGATTGGATAGTTTTTGAAAATGGCAACAGTTACATTGTTCTGGAGCTCTATATAAGCAGGCTGACTGAGCTCCTCAGTTTAGTTCTGTTCCAGCTTACAAATAAAGAGCTGCTTTGGAAGAATCGCTGTGTCGTCTGATATGTTCGCCCACAACTTAACAGTAGACGCCTCCCTAGGGCAGTGTGTGAGGGAAGTGCAGGCTGTGGGTGCTGCAAGGGCCCTGGCAAATGGAGGGACTTTCCAGTGAAAGATGGACACCCCGTAAAACTCCTCAGAAGGATAGACTGACCTGACTCTGTAAGATGCAAAGAGCCAGAATGAGCTATAGAGGGGTGGGGTGGGGGGGTGGGGGGCGCGCATGAGCACACACACACACAGCTCAGGGCTCATCAACGAGGTTCTCTTCTCTCCTTCATCTCTCTCCACACCTCTGGCCAAACCATCCTCACACACCTGGTGAAGGCAGAGGGACAGGGGTTGTGTGTGTGCTTTGTGGGGGGAGAGTCAAGACAACTTCTCCCATGGGATCAGGAAGGGCAGCCAGAGGAGAGGTCTTTAAGCAGAGGCTTGACAACCATATGTCAGGAGGTCTTTAAGCAGAGGCTTGACAACCATATGTCAGGAGTGCTCTGATGGTGTTTCCTGCTTGGCAGGGGGTTGGACTTGATGGCCCTTGTGGTCTCTTCCAACTCTATGATTCTATGATTCTATGATTCTATGATTCTATGAGATGACAGCTTCCCCAAAAAATATGCTCGCTGGAGGTGGTTTGTGTGTCTTTTCAGGAAGTCTTCCAAGGAGCCCCTCATGCGAGCTCAGAGGGGAAGGGGGCAGGTCCTTCTACTGAGGTTCCCTCAGTTTGCACATTGGGATTTAGCACCCCCAAACGCCAGAATGATGTCCCCACTGATCTGTAAAGCAGCACCTTCAAGGACCCAGGAGTGCGTCTCAAGGGTGTGAAAAGCAACTGGGGGAAGGGAGAGAGAGGCCAGCAAGCACCTCTTGCTTTGTCCCATTTTTAAATGTTGTTCTGCTTTTGCTCTATTTTTAGGGTGACTTTATATTAATCGTTGGTATTATTATTTCTACCCTGGTAGTTCTGCTCATTTTGAAAGAGCCCCTGGATGAAGGGCTGGGGCGGTTTTGGAGCACAGAAGTGTTCAAAGCCCATCCTCAGCAGAACCCCCCTCCCTTCCTCTGCTTTTCCATTCCTTTGCTTCTAGGCTGCCCTCCTCTTCCTCCTTGCATCTTGGAGGGGGGTGTTGCAGCATACCCTCCAAGTGTCCTATTTTATGTCCTGCTTCTACCAGAGAAGAGCAAACAGGGCTGTACAAAAAGGTGGCTGAGATTTTTTTGGCAGGGGGAGGTAACCTGCACCATAAACCCCTTTCAAATGGAAACCTGCTCTCAGGGGAGACTGGAGATGGTGGACAACTCAAAGAGAGGGTTCAAAGGGACAACTTTTTTGTTGCTGAAATGTAACACACAAATCTGACTTGAGCAAGTTTCACAGGAGGCCCAGGTAAGTCGGGGGGGGGGGCTTTGCTGCTGCTGTCCCACCCCACCCCGCAAGGCTTGCACAGCTACTGGTCTGGAGCTGAGGACCTGGTTTGGCCCAGCACTTTGCCAGCAGCAGCCCCTCGTTAATTTTAAATGTTACCATCCAGCTGCCAGACTATTTGAGTGATTACGGCTGGGGAGGAAATGTCTGTACAAGGCGTCTTTCAATCAACCTCACAACCCTATTTTTATCATCCTTTCTAGTAAAAGCTCATTAGAGAGACAGCCTCTCTCCCCTCCTCCCTCTCTCTTCCCCCTTTCAAAAGCCACCAGTGAGTGAAGCTGAAGTTGCTTCTATGGGACTCCCATAGGGAGGGGTGTTTAGGCTTGCTCCATTTAGGAGACCAGGTAAACTGGCAATACAGAAGTTGGAGAAAGCAGACTTGTGTGGTGCCAAAACCTGCCTCCCATTTTTTGAAACACTTCCTTCCTTGCAAAAGAGGCTTCCATGTTTCTGTGCTGTTCTCTTATCATTGCAAGAGGGCAGGGGTAATTTGTGTGACTGTCTTTCTAGGAAGCATTTCCCAGCACTCCTTGCAGCCTCCCTGGCTGTCCACCTTTCCTTGTCTGAAAAAGCCTCATGATCAAACAGCTGCCTCAGTAGGGGCTTCCCCTGAAGCCCGGGCACCCAGGAAGGCTGCAAGGGGTCATGGAGAAGAGACCTATCAGTGGCTTCTAGTCATGATGGAGGCTCTGCTTGGCATCCATAGTTGGACGCAGAAATGCTTCTGAATCTCAGTTACTGGAAAACACAGGAGGAGAGAGCATTGCTCTTCTGCTGGAATCCGGCTTGTGGGTTTCCCATCTGGTTGGCCACACTGAGAACAGGATGCTGGACTGGATGGACCACCGGCTTGATCCTGCAGGCTCTTCTGGATAAAGAGTGAGGGCTGCTGCTGAGGTGATTTGTAGGATGAAAGGACACACCATCATATTATTATTATTAGTAGTAGAAGTAGTAGTAGTACCTCACGCATCTGACTGGGTTTCCCCCACCACTCTGGGCGGCTTCCAGCAAAATATAAAAACACAGTAAAACGTCAAACATTAAAAACTTTCTGATAAAGGGCTGCCTTTCAGATGTCTTCTAAAAGATGTGTAGTTCTTTATCTCCCTGACATCTGATGGGAGGGTGTTCCACAGGGCAGGTGCCACTACTGAGAAGTCCCTCTGCCTGGTTCCCTGTAACTTTGCTTCTCACAGTGAGGGAACTGTTAGAAGACCCTCAGAGCTGGACCTCAGTTTGTGCTCGGAAACGTACTGGGAGCCAATGTAGGTCTTCCAGGACCAGTGTTATGAGGTCTCAGTGGCCGCTCCCAGTTGCCAGTCTAGCTGCCACATCCAGAGACCCCCTCAGCCAAAAGTACAGTAAGCACAACAAAATGCCTGCAGTCCATCCAAGAGAATTTTCCTTAAATGTAATTTCTCTTCTCATTAATTGATGGAGAATGATGGGCAGGTGGGTGGCAGGAGTTGAGGATGCAAGAAAAATGTCCAGCCCAGCACTATTGATTAGGGAGTTACATAGGCTCACTTGGAACCTCCTATAAGGCTGATACACTAGGGTGTGTTACATTTTTTTCAAATTCTGAAAATGAGAGGTGTAACATGACTTGGGAATTCAAAAGATATTACTTACTTACTTACTTACTTACTTACTTACTTACTTACTTACTTACTTACATTGGTTGACATTTTCAGAAGGTAAAATTAAAATTCTTTGGTTTTCCAAAAGCAGTTTATGTGCTTCTTCATCAAATGCAGACTTACCAAGCTAAATGTTGTGCAGTCACAAAAATAATAACAGATTTGAATTCCTCACACCCCAAAACATATTTTTAAGACCCCTCACTGAAGAAATTTGCAAAAATTAAGTTTCACCCCCTAAAATCACCCCTACTGATACGTGTCACCTTCACGGCCTCTTCATTGGGGCCATGTGGTGTTAAAAAGAATGAACTTGCCATCATCACCCACCCAGGCTGCAGGGAGAGGTGAGGATACCGCTCTGAGATGCAAGTTGATGCCCCCCCCCCCCGTGCCAGCCCTGGGGACTGTAGCAACCCAGTTGGGGTCTGGGAAGGAGATGGCAGGAACATGGTTACCTCTTGGCCTGGCTGTTCGCTGGGATGCGGGCGGGGGGTGCTTCAGCTGGGAACCTGGGTGTTTATTCAGGGCAATCTTCGCTGCCGTAACCTTCCTGAACTACCGAATTCCTTTTAATTATGACTGACAGTTCATGGAAATTTGGGCCCTTGATTGACAGCTGAAGCCGCTCGCTTCCTTCCCACAATTCTTCTGTTCCCTTCCCATCACAGACATAATGTTGGCTACTTTTCTGGGATAAATAGCAGCCCTCCCCCCAGCCCACTCCCCTCCTTTGGCAAGAGTTCAACGCTTCATTCTTTTCGGAGGGGGCCCTTGGCAGCCAGAATCTGAAAGGCAGCCCCCTCCTCTTTCTCTCCCCTGCACTCAGCCCGGGAGGGAACCCTTTTGTGACTGAACAGACAAAGCCCCCTTCGCTGGCAGCTCTTTCTGGATTTCATTTGAAAACCATTTTCACCCCTTTGGAGTGAAATATCCTGGTTCTCCCCCCCTCTCCTGCCTTTTCCGCTTAATTTCTTATGCTTAGCTGGCCCCTTACCTCCCCTAATATTTTAAGTCGTTGGAAAAACTCAAGGCACCTCTGGCTGAATCAAGGCATCAAGACTTTTGGGGTGCCTCTGAGTCCGTCCCCCCCAACAATTCCTACAGGCCACATATAGTTCCTGCCTGCTTTATACTTTTGAACACAAGTTCAGCTCTCAAGCCTTCCTTCCTTCCTTCCTTCCTTCCTCTTTCTTTCTTTCTTTCTTTCTTTCTTTCTTTCTTTCTCCCTCCCTCCCCCCTCCCTCCCTCCCTGAACACATAGCGTTGTGCTGGGGTATCGTGCCAAACCCGGGCTCAAAATATGTAAAGAACATTATTTCTGTAAATACATGAAAACAGACCTTTCAAATGCCCCTATTTTCCAGGGGCAGTCCCGGATTTACAGAAGCCTTCCCGGTTTCTGATTTGATCCTGGAATGAAAGTAAGAGCTGTTCGACAGTGGAATTTGCTGCCAAGGAGTGTGGTGGAGTCTCCTTTTTTGGAGGTCTTTAAGCAGAGGCTTGACAACCATATGTCAGGAGTGCTCTGATGGTGTTTCCTGCTTGGCAGGGGGTTGGACTCGATGGCCCTTGTGGCCTATTCCAACTCTATGATTCTATGATTCTATGTCCCAATTTTCTTTAGGACATCCCTATTTCCATCAGAGAAATGTTGGAGGATATGGAGTTATGCGACTCCCGAGCCAAGGAGATAAGTAGCCATACAACCTTTAGGAGACATCTGAAGGCAGCCCTGGACAGGGAAGGTTTTTTATGTTTAATGGATGACACCTAAATAATAAAATAATAATAAATTATTATTGTTGTTGTTGTTGTTGTTGTTGTTATTGAATAGGACATCCCTATTTTCATCGGATAAATTTTGGAGGGTATGTGAAAGAACTAAGCAGATATCCACCTAAGCACTTCCGGAGATGGGGCAAACTGATTTTGTTTGCACTGTAATCTGTGGTTATGGCTCAAAATTCACACACTGAATGCATGTTAGGGATACTGGAGAAACTGTTTGGGCCTCAGATCAATATGCAAATCGAAACACAGCTATCCATTTTCACATAGCTCCAAATTTTGCAATATGGTTCTCCAACAAAGAAGCATAGGGGGAAGCAAGTGTCAAAATGCCTGTCTAAGGGCTCATCCAGATTTCCCCTTGTCCCATGCATAGCAAGCACAGGGCTGAGCAGTTTCCCCCTTGCCCCACTCCCCCACTAGGGAAAACCCACCCTTCAGCTTTAAATCAGGGCAAACATCAACATAGAAGTTCCCACTCCCTGAAAGTTCTACGCAGTGATGCAGAGCCGGAGGACCTTTCCAACTCTACAAATCTACGATTCTACAATTCTTTGATTTCACAGCCATTTGGTGGACCTTTATAACAATCATAAACAAGTGTCCTCATCTGAACACTGGATCTGCCAGATATGGCTTTATATGGAAATCCATGTGACTTTTACCTCTACTAACCTTGTGGAACCTGCCCCAGCCTTTGCACATGTCTGGCGTTCCATCAAGCCACACTCAACTCCACTTTGATGGCGCTGAAAAAACCTTTGCTGGACTTCCCTTTCTTTGCTCTGCCTCCATGTTTCCGTGATGCATTCTTCTCTCATTTCATTCTTGGAAGGAAGGAAGGAAGGAAGGAAGGAAGGAAGGAAGGAAGGAAGGGCTTTAATGCAAATGTTGAACAAACAAATAAATCCCAACATACAGAAGTGGGCCAAACTAAGCTGATAAAAGACAGATTCATCGATCCCTACAATGAAAAAGAAAATATTCCAAGGCTCCCTGCTCCCTGCCATTGCAATGCAGCTCATTTTCTTGACATGTTACCATTGAGTCTGATTTTTATCTGGAAATTTTGCAAGCTCTCTGACTGTCCCACACACACACAATCTCTGATGCATCACACTCACATTACGGGCACAATATCCAGGGAATACAGGGGCTGAGATGGGCCAGGAGGAGGCCAGTTATGATCCTGATGTGTGTTCAAGTCATATTTGTCATTTGAAACCAATTTGTCACAATGTTTTTAGCACCAGCTCATGTTTTCTAGTGCTTACATCTGGCATAAACTGGGTCCACCTCCACCCCATAAAAAGGGATCCCAGAGTCTCAAAAGCTTCCACAGGCTTGTAGCTTGGTTATTGATGGAGACTTGAGTTCTCCATTCTGTCAGTCCTTGGGAAGAACAGAGACTCCCCACCATTTGGGCATTCAGGCACAGGGTTGGACCTTCTGAAAATGCCCCAGGGGAGAAACGCTCAGTTGCCGCTCCCAGTTGGGTGGGGAGTCGCCTCTCCTCCTTTAGCGAATGCATCAAAAGTGCCTCTGTGGCTTGAGTGGCAGCTGCAATATGGCTGTCTAAACTCAAGGACAAAATTTACAGCTGTAAATTCTTCTCACTTCAGGGTGGTTAATTATCTTAATTACTTTTATTATCTTTTATCTTTCAGGATCCTAAATTGCTTATTTCTGCTTGTGTCGCCACAGGGTGTTGTTTTTTTCTTTTTATTGGTGCACGGCAAGAGAAGGCAGCAAGGATATCCATTTGGGTGTTCATGTGATGTGTTTGCCTGGGACATTTGAATGGGGGGAGGACTTTGATTTATCACGAGGCTCCTCCTTGGGATTCTAATTGTGCTTTAAAAAGAGGGGAGGAAAGAAGGAAAGAGAGAAAACAAACTTTGGTGAAATATTGACTAGAGCGACAATAAGTGTCTCTCCTCATACCCCCCAGCCCCACTTGTCTTGCCCCCTGCCAGAAGCAGGAGCCCAAGGAGATGAGTTATGGCCACCACAAATGTCACCTCATCCATTCTGCAGGAAAATTCAACAGCTGTTTCATCCAAAGTAAATTGGCTAGTCTAAAACCAGTCTGAATGTGGACAAGGACCTCTGAAGGGGATTGTCAGGGGTGTGTGTGAAAGACACCCCCCCCACACACACACGTCAGACACTCCCCTCTCACTTCCCTTTAAGTCTGGTGGAATAGTGATGGTGCATCTATACTTTTTTTTGTAATAATTTTTATTAATTTTCAATACAGATAGATATACATGAATGCCATATCAAAAATTTATCAAAAATTTTCTCTTTTAGACTTCCCTCAGCTTCTCTGTCAATCATCCATATTTAGTTTTTGGTTACGCATTTTCTAAATTTAATATTGCCTTTTCATATACCCTCCCAATCTTATTTACTTTTTTACAATACTCCTCTAACTTTCACAGAGCTTCTTGAAATCCCACAAGCGTTGTTTGTTCATCACATATACTTTTCAGATATTCTACAAATTTTCCCCAGTCCTCGATGAACTTATGGTCTCGTTGATATCTAATCTTCCCAGTTAGTTTTTCCAGTTCAGCATATTCCATCAATTTCATTCTCCATTCTTCAAGGGTCGGTAGTTCCTCCTGTTTCCATTTTTGGGCCATTAATATTCTCGGTGCATCTATACTTAAACAGAATTAAAACTGGCTTATCAGCTGCTTCCCCTTCCCAGGAAACTCCCAAAGCGGGCAAGGGAAGAATTCTGTCCACTTCAGGTCACATTTTAATGCAAATCTACCTCATTTGCACTCTTACAACAGTATGTGAACAGAAACACAGCTACACTTCAAAATTTGCACTTTTCTAAACTCAACTGATGCACACTGCAGGAACTGCCCATCTGTCAATCACAGGAGGTCAGGCACCCCATTTGTGAGAGCACATCCTTTGCAAGGCATTTAGCCTTTACAGAGGTGAAGAGATCAAATGCCCCCTCCCCTCTGGCAGGGCAAGCCCCCTTCTCTCTCCCTTCCCGTTTCCAAGTGAAAATGCAATGGAGCTGCTCTGATGCAATATGCGAGGCACAGTCAGGACTTCCTTGCTAAATGGCATTTCTCTAGATGGAATGGTATTTATGGGGTCGCCAGGGGCAAGCCGGGACTGAATCACACTGACCCATTTGTGGCACAGAAATGTAGTTTTTTTCAGTCCAGAATTGTCCATTCTCATCTCCAGCATGCTGGTTTCACTCTAGATTCTCTCTTTTTTAAAAATAATATTTTTTATTGAATTTCAAAAATATAAACATACAACATAAAACAGTACAAAATCCAAATATCAAGATTACAGTGGTACCTCGGGTTAAGTACTTAATTTGTTCTGGAGGTCCGTTCTTAACCTGAAACTGTTCTTAACCTGAAGCACCACTTTAGTTAATGGGGCCTCCTGCTGCTGCAGCGCCGCCGGAGCACGACTTCTGTTCTCATCCTGAAGCAAAGTTCTTAACCCGAGGTAATATTTCTGGGATAGCGGAGTCTGTAACCTGAAGCATATGTAACCTGAAGCGTATGTAACCTCAGGTACCACTGTACTCTGAATCTCCTGACTTCTGCCCCATTCCTTCCATGGGTCCTTTTGATTCTATTTTCACCTGCATATCAGTACTTCTCCAATTTTTCATCTTCCTAAGTTATCTATACATCCTGTTACAATACCAATGTATTTAAAATCCTGCTAATATTTTGACCTGTTTACAATAATTTTGTATATACATTATAAACATTTCCCATTCTTTTTAAAAATTTCTGGTCTTCTTGATTCGTGAGCTTCCCAGTTAGTTTTGCCATTTTGCCAGAGTCCATCAACTTGATCTGCCATTCTTCTCTGGTTAGGGCTGTCTCTTCCTTCCATCTCTGGGCTAGTAACATTCGAGCGGCCGTTGTAACATACATGAACAGTTTCCTCTGGTTCTTTGGAATCTCGGTACCTATAATTCCTAATAAAAAAAACTTCCAGTTTTTTAACAAAAGTTATTTTGAACATTTTTTTCATTTCATTATATATCATCTCCCAGAATGTTTTAGTTGTATTACAGGTCCACCACATATGATAAAAGGTACCTTCTTTTTTTTTTTACATTTCCAGCATATATTGGTACTTGTTCTATACATTTTTGCTAGTTTTACCGGGGACAAATACCACCGGTACATCATCTTCATATATTTTTTTCCAATAAAGAACATGCCATAAATTTCACTCTAGATTCTCAATCCTGCCGTAAACAAGTACATGTTTGAAAACCCTCCCCTGGATTTTTGCCTTTTCCTCCTTTCAGGTTTTCCCCAGGGGGGATGAAAAAGGAAATGGGTATTGCGATCTCGATATAAAGCCTCATTGGGCCAGTGTGGATAAATCCCGCCCCCACTGCTGGGAGCGCCTACACCCAGTGCAGGATCCATCTGCCATGAGCGTTTATTTTCTGCATAAAACCAGTTTCTCAAGAAGTGCTTTTCAGAGGCTTGAAATATGCCGTAGATCTAGATCGGGTGTGGACTATGTAGAAAAAACAAGTCCCCAGTTACCACTGGTTCCAGAATAAAATGTTGTTGTGCATGCAGCCTGGGAATCATGTTTCACGGAGTGTGTACTGGGTGCTCCAACTCTCTGCCCCTATTAATCTGGTCAGCCTCTGCCTCTGCTTTTATTTTGGAAGGCGTCGTCAGATAATTTTGTCAGTGAAGGTTGAGATTCTTTGGGGTTCAGGCCTTCCCCCCACCCACCTGGGATGAGGGATTGGGGCTTCCAGCGGGCCTGGGAGCCTGCTAGCAGATGACATTCTGCAAGACACCAGCAATTCCTGGCCTGCCCAGCCTGGCTTAAGAAAACACACAGCCTCCTCCCTCTGCGCCCCCCCCCCTGCAACCACTATTTTTCTTTCTTTTCTAAACAAAAACCAAAAAACAAACCTCTCCCCTTTTTGTTCTGAAAGGCGGTGGGGCTCCTTGGAGAGTAAAAGACCAGTAAAGCAGCAGATTGGGGAGGGGGTGGCAGAGGAGGAATGGCAAGAACAGACATTCTGGAGGCCTTCCAGAGAAACCTCCCTGAATGGGCCAAAGTGTTTTCCCCTCCCCAGAGGTTGCTTTGCAAAGCCATTCCTCCCCCAGAGGCTGTCCAGGAGGCCGGGAGGAAGCCCCTTCTCCAAGGCAAGATTTGCCTAAATGTTGCACGTGACACTTTTTTAGGGAAAGGAAAGTTTCTGATCTTGCAGCAGCGCTGTGGTGCTCATGCCTTGCGTGGGGTCTTCCCAGAGGGACCCAGTAACCTCCTGTGGGAACAGAATGCTCGACTAGATGGGCCCCTTGGTGTGATCCGGCTGGTGCAGAAGGGCTCTTTGTAGAGAGAGGGAGAGAGGAATGGGCAAACAAAAGTAGATTCTCTCTTTCCCCCTGCCCTCCCACCCCTTTCCTGATGGTGGAGGGCGGGAGCATATGAGGGAGGAACCAATCTGTCCATTTCGGGTTCTCTTAGTTTCTCTTTTTTCAGATCTTAAGTTTACTTCCCTTCCCTTCATGGTTGGCCTTTCTGAAATGTTTCCTCCCCACAAGCACAGTTCCATTTATCCACGTTTCTGCACCCATGGGGGTGGGCTGACAAATATGGCTTGTGTGGGTTGTTACTTTGCCACGCAGCTGAGGCTGGGGCAGTTTATTTCCTTTCCTAGAAGGCAACTCTCGGTTTTTCCTTAGCCAGCAGCTGCTTCCTGGGATGGAAGGAGATTATGTAGCAGCAGCAGCAGCAGCAGCAGAAAAAGAATGGGCAGGATTCTGCTCTAAAAGGCTGAAGC